CACTGCCTCTGACACACCCATCCTGATTACCCCAGTCACTGAATCAATCCACCTCATAAAGGGCCTTCCCCTCCTGCGCTGTCCCTCCTCCCTCCCAAGCATGATGTCCCTCTCCAAGGACCGGTCCCTCCTTACAACATGTCCAAAGTATCTTAAAGGAGGCTTCAGAATCCTTGCCTCCAAGGAGCAGCCCAGGAAACAGAAAGTTTGTATCTTAAAAATGTTATTCAAAGGGCAACAATGAATTACTGGAAACTCTAAGTGTCTGTAAACTTTCATTAAAATTAATTAAAAAAATATTATTAATGGTAACCCTGTAGAATGTAAGAACACAGCCTTTTCAAGGTAGGAAATCTTTAGGAAGGCAAACAGCCTCATCTCACTTTGGGGGAGCAACTGGTGAGGTGGGGCCACTTGCTGGGTTAGAACCACCAACCTTTAACTGTTGCTGTTGTTAGGTGCCATCAAGTCAACTCCCATGTCACAGCAATACCCGAATCACAAAAGAACAAAACTTTTCCTGATCCTTTTGGTTAATAGCTGAGCATCAAATCAGAGCTCCTCCCTATCTTGTGGGAAGACAAAAACCCCAAATTTTATATTATCTGCCTCTGTGAAGCCAAATAAAAAGCACAAGAAGCAAACCAACAAAAATACAAGCATTTCTGCTTTGTGGTGTGATGAGCAATGAGGAGCCCAAGCACACATATCTTCAAAGCTGGCTACTCACATTAAAAACTCTGCCAGCCTGATCCTAGAAAACGCACAAAGAGAGAACTGCTATAATTTAAAACCTTGGTATTATTATTTTGTATCTCAGTGAGTTACAAAGAAATAGCAAAAGTTTGGGGCCATCTGGGAACTACATTTATGTAAATAAGCAGTGAATAAAACAAAATCTTTGTTCTCAAATCAGGTAACGTTTACAAAACATTAAAATGTTACAGAAGATATCAGTAATGGTTTTAAAGTGATATATCCATATGAAACTTGCCAGGTTTGTCTGTTCCTTGTTGTCTGATGGTTTGTTTATTTGTTTGTTTTTTATAGCACTGGCATCAACGCACAACAAGCCTGTGTGACACAGCAGTTAAAGTGATGAACTGCTAAAAGAAAAGTCAGAGGTTGCTCCGGAGAAGAAAGATGTGGCTGCCCTCCTCTGAAAGGCTGTATTGCCCTGGAGCCCCTGGGGGCTGCCCTATTCCGTCCTACAGGATTACTGTAAGAAGTCACATGATTACAGGAGGCTTGTTTTGGTTGTTTTAGTGTAACTGCAACACCCACTTCTTTAAGCACCGAAACTACCCCAGACCAAAATGACAGCTGCATTATGTATGCTGTGAAAATACGAAATAATAAATAGTAATCCTAACAATTTAAAACCATTATTTTCTCATGTTTGGCTTACCAATTCTGTAATAATGATCCAACTTATCCCACAGACTTTCACTATCAAGCCTTGGAAGATTGATGCTTTTCAGAGGTTCATAAACGGAGCCTAAAAGAAAAAGAAAGCTTATCAAATTCTGGCACTTCCACTCAGATACAAGAATACTTTCAGAGAAATGAAAAAGGACAATCTAGCCATGACATTTTTATTTGTTTTGAAATATGACTTACTCGATCTCATTACTGGTAATATATTTGATAGTTTTATGAAAAAAAGGAACCACCTTAATGAACACAATAAGGCTCTGTATGTTATAGGACCTCCACTCCCACTCCTTCTCAGGAAAGTCAAGCAACTGACATCTATGAATGCTGCTTCTAACAACTCAAGTATGTGGAAACTCAGTAATTCAGTTCCTTTTGAGAAATACATTTCCTCACATGCTCTGAAATTCAAACTTTATTACTTATGTTTACATTTCATTAGGAAATCAATCCTGTGTCAAATAACTATACCCTAAAAATCTCAAGGAAAAAGATAATGTTCATATATTCAAAGTCATTCATTTCTCTAAGACTCACTTATTCTTCATAGTGAAATTCTTAAGCTTCTACTTTCTGCTAAGTACACAATATTCTTTTATTATTTTCATTATAAGTAAATTTCTACTAGTCATCAAAACTAGTACGAGGTGTTAGGAGAGCATGTGGCTCAAGAACTACAGAATACACAAAATCATAATGATTTGCCATAAAATCATGACAGAAAATTGTGCACTTCCTGGTATACTTCAAAGTCACTGACTGAAAAGAAGACATCTGAATTTTGAGCCACCAAAATATTGTCTCTCATTCTTGCTAAAAACACTCGGAAATAATAAATATATATTGGGGTCACAATTAATCTACCTCTAGCTTCAGGCAATGTATGTCATATCATCTAACAGCACAAGATTAAAGATAACTTAAAATTTCCCTGACAATATGGGAGATTGCGGTTGGGCTGCATTAAATTTTGTTTTAAAAGACTACTAAAGCATTTATACACAACAAATTTGCTACGTCCAGTATGTTACCTAAATGACTTTTTAACTTACAGATAGTAAACATTCAACAGAAAGTATTAAAAGGACCTAAACACTCAGAAACAATTCCATCATCTTCTGTTGGAAAAAAGACATGATCTGGAGATGAAAATGGTAAGAGACCCGCTCTATGTAAGAAGCTGCTCTGCAATCGCAAAGGCACGCAGTTCAAATCCACCAGCTGCTCCACAGCCGGATGGGCAACGCCTCCCATGCAATCACTGCCTCTAAAAACCAGCTGGGAAATCAGCTATGAGTCAGTTCTGACTTGAAGGCAAACAACAATAGGTAAATACTGGATATTCCAATAGACTTTTCACAACAATAACAAGGAGACTGACTTCTTAGTAAAAGGACAGAAAGATTGATGAATATAAACATAAGATTTATACCCAGAAGACACCCAAGTCATCAGTACTCTAAATTCAAAGAGCTATGGATCTGGCTGGCAGCTGAAAGGAACTGGCATTCCTACTTAAGATGCTAAGTTCTCTGAATATATATACTTCCAGTGAAGCTCATTAACTACATTAACTGAGACAGACAATAAAACGAGCTATAAATAATCATAACTATAAACTTTGTGTAACTACAAAAAATAAAAGTCAAATTAAAAAAGTAAGCTTTTCCTTTTTTTAATTGCACATACCTTAGTTTTTATTTTTTTATTAGTAAATATAGTATGTATAGTTATTAAATATCAAATAGATGATATACTGGATTTAAAGGTAACATCTAACAATACTTTTTACTTTTTCTGTGTATAAACTTTTTTAGCTTTTTTTTTCCTTTGCAGACTAACATTTATCTTTATTTCTTTCTTTTTAAAAAAATTTATTATTAATTTCAATGAAAATGTACAGAGATTTGGATTTCCATTCATTCAATGTTACACTTTTCTCCCCTCCAAACCCTCCCCCCTCCAGTACACTACTCTCTTAGTAAAGTAAAAGAAAAATTCTTTCAATGTTTTACAATCCCTCCCCCTAGATCCACTCCACTACGCAGCCTTTGCTCTGGACTCCTGTCATGACCAAAATACCTAATCACATATCCCTTTTAAACAGTTTTCTCCCTCATCTCTTTCAATGCAGTATACATTATTGAACCCATCTTTCTCAATCTCCCCCCAGTCCCGAGGTCAGTCCTGTTTTACAACAGTGGCACCATGCAGTATTTGTCCTTTTGTGACTGAGATACTTCACTCTGCATAATGTCCTCCAGGGTCACCCATTTTGAATAATATTGCATGAGTTCCTTGTTTTCCAATGCAGCATAGTATTTCATTGTGTGAATATACCACAGCTTCTTTATCCATTAGTTTGTTGATAGGCACTTAGGTTGTTTCTAACACCTTGCTATTGTGAACAAAGAAGCAATAAACATGGGTGTGCATATATCTGCTTGGGTGGCAGTTACGGTCTCTTTGGGGTATATTCCCAGTAGTGGAATTGTTGAGTCAAATGGTATTTCTATTTCCAAATATTTGAGAAAATACCATATTGCCTTCCATAGTGGTTGTACCATTTTACACTCCCATCAACAGTGTATAAGGGTTCCAGTTTCTCCACAATCTTGCCAGCATTTGTTGCTTTCTGCTCTGATAAATTTTGCTATTCTGTCTGGGGTGAGATGACATCTCATAGTTGTTTTGATTTGCATCTCTCTTAAAGCTAGGGATTTTGAACATTTCTTCATGTGCTTGTTAGTCATCTGAATGTCTTCTTTGGTGAAGTGTCTGTTCACATCCTGTGTCCATTTTCCTATTGGATTATTTACCTTTATCTTGTTGTGGTGCTCAAGTACTTCATAAATTCTAGATATAAGTCCCTTATCTGATATGTCATTACCAGATACTTTTTCCCAGTCTGTGGCTTCCATTTTTTATCCTGTTGGAGAAGTTTTTGGATGTGCATAGGGATTTGATTCTTAGAAGGTCCCATTCATCTATTTTATCTTCTCCTGGTTGTAGGTAACAGTAACCTTTTCTAAGGTAAGATTAACTATAGATCATACTTCCAAAATATGCAATGCATTGACCAAATTAGTTGCCAAGGACCTCTTTAAAGCATTAAAAGCAAGAATGTCAATTTAAGGACTATGGTGCAATTTACCCAAACCATGATGATTTTTAATTGCTTCATATGCTTTGGAAAGTTGAGCAATAAACAGGAAAGGCCAAACAAGAACTGAGGCCTTTGAAGTGTTGTTTGCTTATGAATACTGACTACACCATAATCTTGCAAAAGAACAAACAAATGTGTCTTGGGAGAAGTGTAGTCAGACTACTTCTTAGAAATAATGATGGTGAGACAATAACAGCCAACACACATATGGATAAAGATATAAATACCAGTTGCCACTGAATTGATTACAACTCATGTACAAAGGCATCTGACTGTGTGGATCACAACAAGCTGTGGCTAATTTTCAGGAGGATGAGAATCCCTGAACACTTGACTGTGCTCTTGTGAAACCGATACTTGGACCAGAAGGCAGTCATCAGGACAGAGCAAGGAAACAGTGTATGGTTCAAGGTCAAGAAAGGTGTATACCAGAGATGATGCTTCCTATCTCTATACCTTTTTAATCTGTATGAGGAACAGTTCATCTGAGAGGCTGGAATGTAGCATCAGGATTGGAGGAAGTCACATCAATAACCTGTATTATGTGGATGACACAACCTTGCTTGCAGAAGCTCACGAATACCTGAGGCATTTGCTGCAGAAGGTCAAGAACTGCATCCTTCAATATAGATTGAAGCTCAACATCAAGAAAACAAAGATTCTCACCACTTGAGCCAACTGGCAGCATCAAGATAAATGGAGTAGAGACTGAGATTGCTATAAGCTTCAGCTTGCTTAGTTCCATAATCAACACTCTTGGTACAAGCATCTGGGAAATCTAAAGATAAATTGCATTGGGAAACTCTGCTGTCAGGGACTTCTTCAGAGTACTGAAGTGCAATGATGTCAGCCTTGAGACTAAGGTGTGTCTGATCCAGGCCATGGTCTTTGCAATTACTTGCTATGCATCAGAGAGCTGGACAATGACTAAAGATGACAGAAGAATTATTTGATGACTTTGAGTTGTGGTCCTGGAGAAAGGTACTGAATATACCATGGATTACCAAGAGAACAAACAGGTCTTTCCTCATAGGGTGAAACCAACTGCGCCTTGTAGGCAAGGACTGTGAAGCTCCGTCTCACATAATTAGGGCACGTTGCCAGAAGGAACCAGTCCTGGGAGAGATACATTGTGCTTGGAAAGGTAGAGGGACAGCCCAAGAGAGGAAGACCCTGGGTGAGATGGATCGACTCAGTGAGTGTCTGGGGTAATGGGGGTAAGGTCTGTTGGAGACACACACACACAAAAAAAAATTTACTTAAGTCAGAGCAGAGTTCAGGGCTGTTGTACAGAGTCTCTATGAGTTGCAAGCGACTTGACAGTTATTAACAACAGCATCAGAGTAGAACAGAGTTCCTTAGGGTTTTGAGAATGATTTTTTAGAAGCAGAGATTCTGGCCTTTCTTCTCAGATTCCTCTGGGTGAACTCAGACTTTGAATATTTTGGTTAGAAGTCAAACACATTAATGGTTTACAGCATCCAGGGACTCTAAAGTTTTAAGGAAAACTGAAATTAGCTTACATTATTAAGACAAGTGAATTTATTTCCTCAGACTGCATAACGATACTCCCATTTAATAGAAAAAACATTTTACTTTAAAAGTGTCACTGCATACAAAAATCAGGTTCACTTCTCTACAGTAGCAAAAGGAACACAGAAAAGGAAATGAGAAAATCAATACCAATTACAACACTTAATTGTAAGATGAAATACTTAGGAACAAATATAACTAGACACAGAAAAGACCTAGACAAAGAATTTTTTTTAAAAAAATTACTGCAAGAACCAAAAAGAGATCTAGAGAAATATAAAAATATATGTAAGAATGTTCATGGGGAGGAAAGCTCAAAATGATGAAAATGACAATTCCACAAAAGCAGTCGTCAAATTCAATAC